AGCAGAGGTAGAGGTAGACCTGCACTCCGTGGGAAAGATCAGGTGGAGAGTGACCTGACTTCACATGGTATTTTATTTTTTTTTATTAAGATTGATTCGGCTATAATTGCGTAAGCATTGCTAACGCCAATAGGGAAGAAGTAGAAGAAGGAATCCAAAATAAATTTGCGTTGTATAAAAAAATATCTAGTCCTATGCCTTCAACATTCCCAACTTCTTTGCCGTCTTTAGAAGAACTCTGAGGCATTTAGGAGTCATTCAACCTGAGCAAAATCAAATCGAAATCAATCCAGATCATATCAAATATAAATGCGTTGTGTAAAAAAGTTAATAAATAACTGTCAATGGGATATAGTGTTTAATTTGCAAATATGTGAGAAACTATAGGTCCCCCCGTTCAGATATGTATATATTCGTGATCTGTTAGCTTTTCCTTTTCATTTGGTACCAATTTGTTTTTGCCAAATCGATAAGGTAACTAAGCAATTCTAACAGTTTTTACTGGCCGCGATCGGTGAGACAAAAGGCAACTCTCACGACAACCGGTTCTACGCATCAGAGTTGGCCCGGATTTGATCTGGGCAGGAATTGTAGCCCCTTTAGGGACCAAACCGCGTTTAGTCTGGGAGCATGAATGGAGCAACAACTGTCAGTAGGGTGGCTTCAAATCATTTTCATCAAGGCAAGTGTTGAACCAATCTCTATACGACGTATTATTCCTGTCGCGTGTGCCAAAATCGACTCCACCCCCAAGCTTTGACGGCTGTACCATTTTCACAGCTACCTAGTTTGGGTGAACGCCCCAGACCTCTGCCATTCATTTTCATCAACGTTCAGCTGCAGCTCCACCTCTACTGCCATCGCTTGTGCTCCAGAACGTCAACTTCAGTTCTTGCGTAGAACCGGCTGTATTGAGAATAAGCATGCTAATGCTAAAACATCTGGGACAAGTGGGAGAAGACTTTCTTCCCACGGTGTGGAAAATGGTTATGGTAGTCGCGCTACTTAAGCTGGGGAAACTAGCTAACAAAATTGAGTCTTATCGTCCGATAATTCTCCTCTTCCTATTAGTGAAGACACTTGAGGCCTTGCTGCTCCCGACTTTCACTCACCATCTGCGTCCATCAGCACATCAGCGTAGCTTCCGTTAAATGTATCACAGTTCCACAACAGCACTAAACTTGTAAAAGCTTTTGACACCGTCAATCATTCAGTGCTACGATCAGACATGGAAGCATCTTCATTACCGGGGTCAACAATCATCGGTAATATTGCGAGTTGAAACATCGAAACCAAGGAAAATTAAACACGTCCTCTCCCCACTATTGTTTAATTCTGCAGTTTCCCTAACCTTAAATGCCGATGATTGCACGATACTGTCGTCTGGCCAGGGTACTGATAACATTTGTTCGAAAGTGAACTGCTACCTTGCCGATCTTTCTCACTTCTTCACTGCACGACGATTGAAAATACAACCGACCAAACCCTCGGCTACCCTCTTCACCATCTGGACGGAGGAATACAGACTTGAACTAGATGTGAAGGTCGATGTCACAAAAATTCTGACGGTAAATAACCCTCAGATACTGGGAGTCACACTTGACAGCGTGCACTCCTTCGCTCCGCATACGACCGCAATTGCCGCAAAACTCCAGAGCTGCAAAAAAATACTCAAAGCGCGACAACTTACAAATGAATTGGCCTGCCAGCCGTAAACTCTGCTGCACCGATCTGGGCGCCGGAGAAGAACGAGACGCAGATGAAGAAGCTACTGCTCTATCAGAACACATACAGCAACCGCTGTATACTGGATACTGTAACAGGTTAAACTCCTTCCTATCCAGACTCGACCCCAACATGTCCAACATATCCCAGCTCTTCACATGTCCCCTTTGGTCCGATCCTATCGTGGAACTCCCATTAGATGGCCGTCGGATTTATTTTAAACCTGTCCCTAGGCAGGGTTAACGTTGTAGCTACAAAAACAACACGCTCACACCAGAATTGTTGGTAATGTGACCCTCGCATCAGACCATTAGCCCATAATTATCCACTGGACGTTTGTTAACTTGAAAAAAAAGCTGACTGAACCGTGTGGATTCAATACTAACGCCCCCTGTCAGCCGAATCTCTGGTAAACAGATGCTGCAATTAGACTTCAGCCAGCCGTTAAGTCAAATATGTCACAACTCTCAAACAGCCGGTTCTACGTACCGGAGTTGACCCAGTGCAATGGTTGGAGTTACCACTCCCACCTATCTCCATCCCCATCCCTACCCACAACTATCTCCTCATCCTCCTCCCGTGCGTGGGCTACCCAGCAGCTCCTAGTCCCCCGCACAGTCTCTTATGTGTGTCAGACCATAGTACGTCGGAACAGAACCTCAGCCAGATGCAACTATTGCTCTGGCTTGTGTCATTTTCGGACGTGCTCTGGCCTACGCACCACCCGTGACTGAAGCGATGCGTATGTTGCCGCATGCTGTAGGAGTCCGTCCCCGGATAAAAACCGTTTCGCTTTTGGTCGACTTTAGCGCGCATCACGGTCTTTGGCATTCTAGCCTGTTAAATGACCCTAGATTAATGGAGCTGGCAAAACAGATAGACGATTCGACATTCTGCACAATGAACGACAACACCCCCACCAGAGTTATGGGTAGTTGCCAAAGCTCGCCGGATATAACAATTACGAGTGCTGGTCTGATAAACAGTATAGTCTGGCGATCTATACTGACAATAGCATCGGACCACTTGCCAATACAAATCTCGATGGATAGGTCTTCCGTCTTTATTTCCGCGGACCACACTTGTTAACTTCAAAAAAGCTAACTGGCCCGGCTTCACGGAATTTACTGCTCTTCCTACTCCATCGTTGTCACCACTGGTGAGCGTTTATTCCGCAATTTCATTCGGTGATCGCGCCTCGTCGGTAGACAAAGCGAAGCGACGTGTAACCCGCCGTATGTGCAAACTGCCAAACACCAGCGCGGTGCTTGATTTCTCCAGGGAAGAGGTTCAGGGGATCATCGGGAATAAGCATGCTGATGCTCAAGCACCTAGGTCCAGCGGATGCAGAACTTCTCACAAGGGTCCTCAATTTGTCTCCCCAGTAGCGAAGACAATTGAGTCCTTACTGCTCCCGACTTTCACTCACCATTTGCGTCCAGAACAGTACTACAACAGCACTAAACGCCATAAACACTCAGATAGTCAATGGCCTTAACCAAAACCGACCCTGCACGTGAACTGTCCTGGTAGCACTGGATTTGTCAAAAGCTTTTGACACAGTAAATCACTCAGTGCTACTAAGGGACATTGAGGAATCCTCATTACCGCCGGGGTTGCAGGGGTGGGTCTGAGTGGTCGACAATCCCAATATTCCGAGGTGTAACATCTAAACCCAGGAAAATTAAACAGGGGGCTCCGCAGGGTGGTGTCCTCTCCCCGCTACTGATTAATTTCTATATCTCGAAACTCTCTCCTCCACCAGAAAGAGTAAAGGAGGAGGGCCAAAACTCCAGAGCCGCATCAAAATACTCAAAGCACTAGCCGGCAGCCCCTGGAGTAAACTCAAAGAAACTTTGCTGCCAACACATAAAGCATTTGGCTGGCCGGTCGTAAACTAAGCTGTACCGATCTGGGCGCCGGGGACGAACGAGACGCAGATGACGAAGCTACAGGTTTGCCAGAACACCGCCCTCATGGCCGCGACAGGAAACCTTCTGATGTCGCCGGAGCATCACTTGCACAGCGAAACATGTATGCTTCGAGTTAAAGGGCATTATGCTTTGTTGTGCAAGCAGTTCCTATTGGGATGCTCCCGCAAGGAGCACCTAATAGAAGCTGAACCTCCACCTAGGCACATCAGAAAGGGAGTACCAGATCTTAAGGACACAATCCAGCAACACGTGCAACAACCGCTGGACAGGACGGCGTACAGACAAGCACTGAACGCCATTCACCAGGAGTCAGGTAACACCTTCAAGGACTCCCTTGCAGTGAATGACGTGCTCGGAGAAAATTCACCGCCTATAGCAGACAACGAGCTCGAGCTGCCTCGAGAGACCCGCATGACCCTGACACAACTCAGGTCTAGATACTGCAGCAGGTAAAACTCCTACTTATCCAGGCTAGACCCCAGCATACCCAACGTATGCTCTGCATGTGGAGAGTGTCCGCACGACACTAACGACCTCTTCACATGCCCTCTCAAACCTACTCATCTAACCCCCTCTCCCTTTGGTCCAACCCCGTCGAAACAGCTCGTTTCAGGGACCTCCCATTAGATGACATCGACGACTTAGATTGATCACACTGGTGCCTAAGCGGAGTTAGCGAGCCGCTGCAACAACAACAACAACAACCAAATAGTTAAAGCCTCTCTCTTTTAGCCGTGATGCAAGGGTAACTGCTTACCCAGAAGCTTGACTACACCCTAATGAAAGACATTTATTCCTGAATAATAGGCGCATATCTTAACTACATGTCTTCCGTCCATCACAACATGGTAGATTTGGTCCTTTAACCACTTTTTCGTACTGCATGTAGGATTTAAAAAACGTCGTCTTCATATAACGGTAGGTAGGAAATTGCTTCTGTGGGTTCTGACCAAAGAGTTGGGGCTTAGAAGAATAGTAAAATTAGGAGGCATGCAAAGGAGTAGATACATATGTCGCGAGAGGACTCATTACATGCTGGAGAAACTGTTAATGTACTTTGGTTGATACTAAGTCAAGAGCATTTTTAAATAAGTCTCAAATTTTTTTCGTTTCTATAATTATTTATTAAAGATATATTTTCTTAATGTACAAATCGCACACTTATTTAGAGCAAATCCATTATTTGTATTACATACATATATTAAATTTAAAACAACATCTTTATTAAACAAAGTTATGAAGCGAGAAAAAAATTATAGAAATATAATTTTAGTTAAAATTGCGAATTCATATAGTTTTATTTAGTTAAACATATATACATAAAAATTAATTGAATTCCTGAAACAAATTTATTATTTATATACAATATGTATATTCATATTTTATTTATTTTTTCTTTTAAATACATTCTGCATATAGGTATGTACTTCCATGAATTGATATTCAGCTATTTACTTTGTATTATAAACTAAGAAATTTCTCCCTTCTTGAAAACTATTAATCAAATTTGCTGTCATTATTATTATGCAAGAAAAGTATAGCATCAATTAAATTGCCTGTAAGCATAAATCTTTTATGTTGTTCATAAATTTGCTGTTTTACAGGTTTCTTAAAATTCATGTTCACTACACACGGCATACACTGGTATATGGGAGCCAAACGTTTTAGGCTTCCGAATATATGACCCAGTTTATTCCACCATGAAAACGGTGATTCATCTAAATTAGCATAAACTTCTGTCCTGTATCGTTTTAAGTCGTTCTCTACATTGCAATCTTCTTGCGGCGCAGATGTGGGAGCAGGTTCGTCTTGAATGTCAAAGAATATCTCCAAATCTATAATAAGTATTTAGGTTTTAATAAAATGTTTAAGGAGAGAAAAAGTGTCCATACTTGACTTCCTCGAAGTGGAAGTGGCAGGTTTACTTTCCGTTGTATCCTTTGCTTGTGTAACATTACCACCTTCTTGTTGATGTAATTTATTATATTTACTGGTTAAGATTTGAACACATTTTGCCATATTTTTAACTGTTGTTAATCGATGAAAACGTGGATCAAGCAAAGCTGCTATTGTTAAGTGATGATCTGCAATTACACTTAATAGCAGAGATACACGAAAATTTTAGTTTAGATATGATCTTTTTTCGAATCTCGATATACTCACACTTCTTGAAGCTCCCTACTAATAGTTGTTTTTATGCTAGCCACAAATTCATCGTCGGATTCGCACAAAGCTAATTTCTTGTTTACTATTTTTGAGGTTATAGGTGACAACATACTGCAGTGGGGAATTTCTTCTCCTTTAAGCGTGTCCAATGTTATCTGGAAAATGCAAGCGTTAATAGTGCATACATCTGAATGGCCTTTAACTTACGGCCAATATGTTTATTGAATCCACTATGACTTTTGACGAAGAAACTAGAATATCTACGTCTTCGGGCCATGATACCGTTTCCGAAAAAAACTTTAATAATTCATAAAACGTCCATGGAAACTCCTCATTTATTGTAGGAATGTCTACATCCTATTAAAAGAAATATTACATTTTCATAAATACATACTTATACAATCAATGACATATTGAAACATAAAATAAAAAATATCTTACCTTAGAGCTGATTTCGGATCCATAGCGCATTATCATTTCTTTAACTTGTTCAATTATTGAAGCAACATCCGGTAAAGCAAATACCAATTTCAAACACTTATCAACAGTGATATCGTAGGATAATATGATAGGTATATCTGTAGAAGGAATTGAAAAACAAAATATTATGAAATACACATGTTATTGGCAAACAATTCGATCTGTAATAATATAAAATAATAAAAATTTGGTTCAATATAATAAAAATAGTGATAAAACCAATTATATGCATACATATGTATGTATTGCATTGTTTTTTATTGTTGTAGTTGTAGCGGCTACATTAACCCCGCTTATGGACAGGTATAAAATAAATCTAAGTCATCGAGATCATCTAAAGGGATGTCCAGTAGTAGGACAGGCCTGTAACTTCTTAATCTGCGTCTTCGATCCCGGCGCCTAGATCCGTGCAGCATAGTTACGAACCGGCCGGCCAATTGCTTAATAGGTTGCCAGCAAGGTTTCTTTACCTTTACCCCAGGTGCTCCTGGCTGGCGCATGCTGTCAAGTGTGACTTCCAATATCTAAGGGTAATTTATGGTTGGAATTTCCACGTCATCGACCTTCACATCTAATTTGAGCCGTTTTCCTTAGTTTTGAAAAACCTCGAAAAACTACCTATGATTGCCGACCACTCAGGTAGCCCATGAGGTGGATAATACATAATATATATTTTTTTAATGAATCGATCTCAGGCTCACATCCCCGAACAAAAAGTGTTAGTTTAGACCAAAAGCTACGTCTATACAAAATTTTATGTAAATCAAAGGGTAAATACAAATTTGTCGAATAAATCGGTCTCAGATCCACTTCCAGGGTAATCCTTTGTTCTTGCTGTTTAGTAACCGCAAAAATATTGCGACAGCTCTCGGCTGGATGAAAATTCGGACCTATTGGATTTTAGTCGAAAAAATTCGCTTTTGTCAAATGAAATCAATGTTTCAAAACAAAAGTCAGAGAAGAGGAAAAACAAATATTAAAATTGATGTCCTTAACATAAGAATCAAAGTTTGCTAATTTAAATGGCATTAAAAGTAGTTATTCTACAATTGATTATAATTTTTATTTAGTTAGTATTGAAAGAATATATCATATTTAACTACAATAAACGCGTAATTTCCTTTTCAAAAAATGGTCTATGTATATAAATTCCCTTTTTTAAATTTTACAAATTCAAAAAGATGTAGATCCTTCATCTGTGGAGCTTGGAAAGATTAAAGATGTCTCCGTTCTACATATGCACATACGAGGCACAACGGATTGCTTAGATCATCTGTTCAAACAGGAATCCCAAAAAGAAACGAATGGGAAAAAACAAACACCCTCGATCAAGAAACCATATCCATCTTTACCAACGGATCAAAGCTCGTTGCAAAAAGGAACCCTTCTATCCACAATAAACCATGCAAAGGATGAATGTTTACCTTTGCCATTGCAAAGTATATTCAAGGTTTGACCTTTGCCAAAAAAGCAAACATATCGAAACATATAATACTTCTAGAACGGTTATCCATTAGCATAACGAATAGTGCAATAAGAGATAACCGTTCGATGGGGCTTCACGGGAAAACAGGCTATTACTTCAATGATTGTGGCCGCATAGAAAGAGTCCATTGAACAGTATATCTTCTTTTACTTCAGGAAGAATCGGTAACCTCGTTGTTTTCCATACACACGTGATATGGCTCGAAAGTTTAAGAATACGAAAAGGAAGAAATCACACAAAAATTGGTCTCATCGATGCAAAAGCGTTTGGAAGCTGTCATCAAACATAAAGGCTTGGCTATAAAATGTTAATTTCGTTACCATTTCATTATATTTTTTTTTTTAGATTATAAAGTGTGCCAATACTTTAGTTTGGTGAGAATTAGTCCTTTTTTAATTATTATTAATTTAACATGTAAAATAATGAACTATCTGAAATATAAGTCTAGTTTAAGGTAAACCGTTATTTTCGTAATAGATGTCTTTAATGATCTAAATCTCGTGTTAATGTCAAAGTTGGACTCTCGGAAAGACAAAATACGCTATATATATTTGTTTGCGATAAAGGGGTAAACGCAAGTCAGGCAGCTGTGAATAGTGTTTCGTCGAATTTGTTCCGGTAATTTTGATGAAAACATGCTCCAATTGTCGAGAATATCGATAAAATAAAAGAAATCGTCGAGTCTGACCATCTTGCGACCACTGTTCCGATTTCCCAGGAGTTTAACATTTCACAAAAAAAAAAAACAGCTTGAAACTACTGGCTGGATTCAAAAGTTACCTCGGGGAGCGGCATATATTTTTAGGACGTGTATGACCTACTCTAACAAACCCCCCAAAAAGGTAATTTTTTCTAAGCCAGGCACATCCTCGTCGAGTGTCCTTCCTAATATATTCACACATTCATATACATATGTTCTTTTATACTTGGCGTTTCAGAATATTTACCTTTGCTTTTTAAAAAGTGTTTAAGATAGTCATCATATTCATAGCTCACAATAGCTGCTGCACAATTTTCCAAATTGAATTCTTCAAATATTTCATCTATAGACGTGAATTTGTTGTATTCGACGGTGCAGTACAACTGATTTAGAAGATTGTATTCTGGTGCATCTGTGGTATAATTGAAGTATATGGACATAAAGTGCTTATTTTCGACATTCTTCCAAATTTCAAATCCCAGAGAGTACGGCTTAATTTGTGAGCGTATTTTAATTTGACTTGCCAATGTTGTCAACTTATCGCTGTGCAATTCACGAATAAGACCCTCAATCTTAAAAGGAAAATGAAAAATATAAATCAAATCACAATGTTATAATATAATAACAAAATTGGACATATATTTGTATATGTGTCTTTTTAAACGAATAATGCACTAATAACAACCAACAAAGGCGGTAATGATCTTTTGAAACATTTAGTTATTATCTCAACTAAACCGATCGACCAAAGTAGCGTTATTACCTAATTTTCAAATGAAATATATTCTACTATAAGCAAAAACAAAAACGAAATGTATTCTATATATATGTATATAAGATATAAATTAATTACCTTTTTATCCGAAGGCAACTCTACGTTGCCGCAAAGTGTACGTATGAATATGGACATTCCCTGGTCATAAAGTGTATCCACGTTGCGCACATCATTAATTACCATATTAACCAAAGCATCTTGCAATTGATATTGATTCACCATTTCTCCCATTTCAGACCTATAGTTAGAGCTCATATTATATTTTGGATCCATTGTTATAACTTCCATGGTTTCATTAGAATTAGGTTTAGATTTTAACAGTCCAACATTGCCAGAACCAGACACTTCCACTTTAACAAAGTGATCGTTATCAATCACATCATCGTCATCATATGTCATGGGTACCATTGTTTCGTAGAGCATTGAAGGTTCTTCTCCTTGCAAGCTGCCAGTGTTTGAAGTTTCCTGAATAGGTTCTCTGCACTCAATTTTAACTTTATGACGCAAGGGATCCCGTTTTAAGCGTCCAATCGCTGATCCACTACTACTGGATTTTGTGAGTGGACGACGTGGAGGCACTCTTATACCATTTTCAATACAAATCTTTTGAAAAATTTCTTTATGACGATGCTGCAGGTGAGCACGTAAATTGGTTGTATTTCCATGATTGGTTAAAACCTTGTGGCACAGTGTGCAAACAACATTTTGTTTTGTAATGATGCGATCATGTTCATTTGTAGGAAATCCAAAATGCTGCCAATAAACACTTTTCATTTTAGGACTATGCAATTTAACGAACTTTAGGTCAGAAAGTTCTGACGAGATAACAGTCGTTCTCCCAGATTTTAGCAGTGGATCACTCATTTTAATGTATAATTATTTTCAATAAATTTACTTAAACTCCAAACCAATAATATTTAAGACAACAGAAAATATTCCAACGATATTAAATCGACGCGATGACCCAGGGTTGCTTCGCTGAAAATTACATAGTGTTTCTACGGTTGAACTTTTATTTCGATAAAAATCACTTTGGCATTCCTCTTCTTGTATTAGTTGAAAACATGTAAAGAAGATGATGTTATAGTAATTGATGTAAACTGTGTTCGTTAAGAAATTACAGTAAAAACAAGATCGTAACGAAATTGGGAGAGTACGATGTCTTACTCTCTCAAAGAATGAAAGAATGAATGAATGAGTTTTCACCGAACAGTATTCAGTGAAAATTAGCCAGCAAGTTGTATAACATCTGTTCATTTTGGCGGTTAAGCTTGAATCCGTTTATTTGTACAGTTTTTTCCTGTTTTGAACTGTTTTCCTCAGTGTTTCAATAAAATTGGCAAATATATAGCATATTTTATTTATTATTTGTATTCAAAATGTATTGCATTTCAACAATGATGAAATTCCACTTTCTTTATATCGATTAAATATACTAATAGTTTTTTCCTATGAGTTCTCTAAAAAGACGAAGATTCATAAAAAAAATTGCTTTGCACCAATTTGTCGCTTAGATTTTCTTTCGGCATGACTGTACTACGTAAATGAGTTTGAAACTATTTTCCGTGCAAGCCGGCCATATCAAATCATCATTATAATGGAATTTATGCGATTCCGTTTAAATAAAAAGCAATCAAGAGCTTTAATTTGTCTTCTATATGCTATTGAAGCTTAAGAATTCATTATCGTCACTGTGACCCTTCCAACAACCTAGCTTCGCAACAATTTGTGGCTTATTGAGCGATGTTTACATTTATATACAAGTACGTCATTGTCTTTTCGTTTCCTTGTGCATTTTCGTCATTCTTGTCGTACAAATAGAACGCAGCTGAGCAATAGTATTGTTGCGAAAATGCGAGGCGAATGTCAGATGAAAGAGAGAAGCCGATAACTAGTACATTCTAGAAACGATAAAACAAGAACCTTCCATAGCGAACAATCCGATGCTTCTACGCTTTCGTCTGCGAGCAGCCGACTGCTATATAAAGGCGACACTCAGCTGCAAGT